ATTCAAGCAAAGAGTGGACTCTTAGAACCATTACCTATTCTATCTCTACTTTATAGAGATATTTCAATGGACTTCATAACTAGCTTACCAAAATGTGGTGAAGCTAACTCCATAATTGTAGTTGTTGATAGATTCAGCAAAATTGCTAGGTTTGTATCAATCACTATGTTTTCGAAGGATTCAAAAGAGGCAATAGAAACTGCCTCAGAATTAACAACAAATATATTCTTTGATAATTGGATCTCTTTGTATAAAGTGCCAACCTCAATTGTGAGTGATAGAGATGTAAAATTCACATCTTAGTTTTAATAGCATATTATGAAAAAGCTAGGTTCTAAGATAATATTAACTACTGCTTAATATCTTTAAGGGGGTGGCCAAATTGAGAGACTCAATGGAATTCTCTCAATGTATCTAAGGCACTATGTGACAAGTGATCATAAGGATTGGATCAATTGCATACCCATAGCTGAGTTTAGTTATAATACAACTCAGAATGTGTCCTTAGGAAATACACTATTTCAAGTAGCTCATGGTTTTAATGCACTTTGACCTATAGATTTGGTAGGAGTGAGACAGAGTGATGAAATAGTTTCGGATTTTTATTCAATTAAAGGAGCTAAGTGGGTGGCAAAAAGAGAAGCCATATTACAAACCGCTAAAGTTAGATAGAAATTGGCCAAAAGAAGATATAAGAAACAAGCACATAGGTATAAAAGGGATGTGCAATTTAAAAAAAGATATAAAGTTTGGTTGAATACAAGCAACCTCACTTGCCTAACACACATTACTCCCAAATGGATCCAGAAATGGACAGGTCTTTATGAGATTGAAAGAGTGTTGTATAAGCATGTCTATATATTAGACATACTTAAAAGATTGAAGTGACATCCAGTTTTCCATGTAAGTGTTTTCAAAAAATTTGTGGAGGATGGAAAAGGCTTCCACAAAGAAAAGGCAAGAATCCCACTTGAAGAAGAAATATGGGATCAAACCATGGGACAAGTAGAAATGATACTTGATAAGAAATGGATGGATGTTAGAGGAGTTCAATACTTGTGTACTTTCAAAGAATATCCTTTGCATGAATTCCAATAGATAAATGAAAGGAACTTGCGACATGTGCAGGGATTAGTCATAGCTTTCAATAAGAAAGTTGGTGATTATAAAAGATCTAAGACTACGAGGAAGCAGATCAAAAACCACTAAAGGATAGGTTGGTTAGTTGATTGATAATTTGAGAGAGATTAATAGAAAAGGTGATCAAGAAGATGAAGGCATCTTCACTCCAAAGTAGAGGAGGATCACAACTTATGTGACTTGTAAAAGAAAAAGAAAAAGAAAAAGAAAAAAAAAATCTTAGAAAAGAAGATGGTGGAAGTTTTCAAGAAATAAAAGATTTTGAAAGGATTCCTGCCCGAGGGGACTTTGTAGAGGGAAATCTTAAGAAGCTTGTTTGAAGCGGATACAAGACTTTGAGCAACTAGGCCTAAACGGTTGGCCTTTTCTAAATGGGTTTCACATTGAGTGATAGCAAATCACTTCCATATGATAGGGAAGAGTATTAGGATAAGGCGGATCCTAATTAAGGAGTTCCACGGCCGCGGCTAAGTCTAAGTGGGGAATAACATCCCTATTATTCACATTGAGAGATGTGAACTTTCAAAATTCATAGAATTGATAAAACTTAAGAAAGTTGAAGGCAAAAGGAAATTGCACAAGAAACGCGAGAAGAGGGTAGCGTCTCATCTCAATAAGGAATTAGTAAATCCTCATCTACCCCTACAACCTTCTGAATGACTAGAAGTGTAAATGGAGGCTAAGTAGTTAAGGAGCCATCAAGCTACTTAGGAAAAAAAAATAGAAAACGGATGTAAGTGCAAGACATCCATTATAAATATTCTTTAAGAATGGAAAAACAAAAAAAACAAATGTACCTCATATGTCAATGAGGACATTGACTGTCCAAAGTGGAGGAGGATGTAAGGATCTAAAGGATCAGACCCTTGCACTTGTGAGTCAAAAGGTTTGGAGCCTCGGCGATCCCCAAGTCCATGAGAAAGCCATGGCGAGGTAGCAAAGGAGCGGTTGGGTGGGCCACCTCCCTCACACCAAGGGACCACACGATGCAAGGGTAGCGTGCAGTGTGCGGGAAAGTCTTCGGAGTCTCTGTCGAGTCCCGGGTGATCCGGAGGAGTCATGAGAACTCCAATGGTCAATGGAGTTAAGTTTGTTAGTGTCGTAAGTCTGGAATTATATATGGACGAGACTGTGGTGACAATATCCGGAAACAGGGACCAGTTCATGGGGCTAGCACTAACGGGATTTTCTGTTGGCTGTGTTTCAGGGTGAAACCAAGTGACAACTAGAAGAGATCTGTTACAGGTGGTGGTGGAGGAAGATGAGCACAGTATGAGTTCATCTCTCTTACTCTCTCTCGCCAAGCAGGGCATGTGAGGCCACAACCGAACGAACGAACCTATAATCGAACCAATGAATAGACAAAAAAATTAACAAAATCTGTTGATCCTGAGACTCGCCCCCGCCACCACGCTCCCTGCCCAGTGCATCCTCGAGCGGGGCCAAAAAGAAAAATATTATTTATATAAAATACTTCTACATGCAGGAGAATTTGATTCAAAAAGCAACAATATTTGAACCAACTCAATGTATGATTAAGATTTACATTTATTGGTACTTTGACTTACATTTAAATATAAATTGATATTTAGAAATAATTATTATTATTACAAACTCTAAACTAAAATCACTTTGTACTATCCTGAACTACTATTTATTGTTTGGGAATTCTAAATATATGTTTCATACAAATTTTTCAAACAGGATTTGAAAATTTCATTTTGAATAGGCGTGTTTCTCATTCCTCATCTTAATAAATCGTTTCTATTTCCAATTTAAAGAAACTAAATTATGTGTTTTTATAGAAAATAAGATTAAGCCTAAACACCACTAAATAAGTTCATGATCCTACTGCGAGACAGGATGACCCCGCCGCAGCCGACACGAGGTTTTATCGGGGATCGGGCTGCCCAATTGCGGTCCAAGCAGGACCTTCCAGGTCCCATGGCGGAATGGTAAGCAGATGGATGAACGCCATCCACCGACAACTAACATCTGTAATAAAAAAAAAATTATGTCTCGTTTATCAAGCATTGACAATGTTGAAGAGCTGGTGGTCCTCACCGACAGTGTGAATGTGCGAGACCACATTCAGCTCACCTCAGAAATCGGTAGAGGCAATCGATATAAAGTGCGCAAAGCATTGGACAAGAGCTGTCTGTCTCGTTTCATCACGTTGTTGTGCTTTCTCTGTCGACACCGTAAGCAGAGCAGATTCACACTGTGAGCAGAGTGTATCTAAGCGGGAGACACCATGGGTCTCAAACTGGGCGTCGGGAAGTATTCTCTTGTCCACCAATCTTGCTTCGTTGCACCTCTCATCGTCTTGTTGGGCACATTGCCTATCTGCAACGGACAGAATAAAGAAATAATTTTTAAATCCGGAACAAGGTAAGCAGTACCACTCCATCATGTGAATGTGTGGTTTCAAAATTGGCCAGGCAAAAATTTAGGGACAATTGAGAACCGAGGCAGCTCTTGATTGACTTGGCTGTACAGTTGGACGTCGGTTGCGAAAATGCTAGTACTTGTAAGAGTCTGACGAAACTCCATTCTTTCGAGGAGACCGGTGTGAATAAAGAGGACTCTGTTCCTACACGGACTAGTAACAAATGAACTATTGTCTGGGTTAACTTGCAGTGGACGCACTAGAAGACCTTTTGCGAGCATGGAATCAAACCCCCCGCCTTGAGACTAACTTGGCTGGGTGGTACATAAATTCGACGTTTCCGTGCAACGTACAAGACAATCGCAATTGGCGTGGGGTGCAGTGTCTTGACTTCATCGACTGTTTTTCAAATGCCACGCATCAAAATTGCTATGTTTTTCGCTACTTTACAGGCGTGTGAGTGTTTACTACTTTGATTTATTCTGTTTCCAAATTGTTGCTCATGCTAGAATCGAATTTTGCTCCTGGACAACTGGGAGGTGGACGTGCTGCCAACCTTGTTGACCGCTTCATATATACAACTGCTTCTGATTCATCGTGTCGTATCCATTAGTTTTCTGATTTTTTAAGGGTTTCATGGCCACATCAAACAGGACTCTCCAAAGTGCATCAATTGTAGGCTCTATACCATCAACAATTGGAAACATTACCACGCTGTATACACTGTGAGTCTCTGAAATGTCCTTGATTTTTGCTATTACCTGCTGATAAGACTTCATGATCCAGTGTGAACTTGGTTTCTGAAAATTGGAAATAACCGAGAGAACAGTCCTTATGAAGCTAGGGCTCAATTGACATCGGACTGTGAAATGTTCAGTGTTGGTTCAGGAAGTTCACTTTTTCAGCATCCTCTTTACGGACGACGACACTAATAGGTGGGTCCTGAGCTGAAGGGAGCTGACAGGAAATCCAAATCTCACTGGACCTCTTCCAGACACATTCAATCAAACTAGTCTTAGTAATTTGTAAGACTCGATGTCTGTTGTGCAGTTCTCGTCACTTGCGACCAAATTATGCATCTAAAGTTTGCCATTGCATTTGAGTTAGATACCATTATGCAATTTATACATGAGATGTTCTTTTGATTCAGATATGATACTGTAATTACATGTTGCTGATGCAAACCCTAAAAGTTGTTTTACTGCTCTTAATTCCCAGGGATGTTCACGACAATGCGTTGGAGGGTGAATTCCCTCAATACGGGGTCCAATCGGATATGCTTTTGACACTGTAAGCTTTGTAATAGAATAGTGTGCCAAACCATGGTTTGTTGTTTTAATTTCGCAAATGTTTCCAGCAGAAAGACTGTGGTCATCTCACAAATCGAATTGGCACTTCAACAGGGACTTAAGTGGCAACAAGTTCAATGGGTCCTTCCCGTTTCATAAACTCGTCACATGGTGTACCTCGAAACTACAAGACTCGGCAGAAATCGTTTTGAGGGGCCGGTCCCAGAACGAGCGTTTGAAACCATGACCAATCTTTTCGACCTGTGAGAATCCGAATTTCTAACATCTGAAATTAGAGATTCGAGTTTTTCAGTCCAGTAATTCATGTAACTTAATCTACTAGTGACCTCCGGCAATCTAAAAGTACTAGTCTCGAATGATTTTAGAGTTTGGCATCGCACCATCCGAGTGCAGCAAAAGCTATATACTAGGGGTAGGTGATCGGTGAATGGTTTGTTGTGGTGGCTACTACTTCTCAAACTCGTTTGAGTCCGAGTCGCTCTAATCTCACTATTCTTATGTCTCTGGGATTGACAGGGACTTGTCAAGCAACAAGTTTAACGGGACACTGCCAAACCTGACAATGATACATTCCTTACGCACTGTGTGAGTTTCGGATGCCCAGGATGTGTGTGCAGTACCTTACAAGCTTAAGCATAACTCTGCAATTATGTTGCCAGCTTGTCAATGTTGTGACGGGAAAGTTGTAACCACGCACGTCAGTTCCATAGTTGCATTCCTTACATTGGCTAACACTTGCAGCAGGGATTGCCATGGAAATGAAACACACGATGTAGCACAATGTATCTTACAGGAGATTGATAATATCATCATCAATCAGGCTCAGGTGAAACCCGATGTATCTTATACTTTGAGCAACAGAGGACGAAGTGCTCTGATTCCTGTATTTATGTCTTCCACAGGAATTTGAGCAGGAGTGGATTTACAGGATCGTTTCTGATTTCGTCATACTTCAGCAGAACTAAGAACAACATCCTTTCAGTGTTGGATATATCGCACAATCCAGTGACAATCGATCAAAATTTCTGGAACTCCGACGAACTTGGCTCGCTCCAGGAGCTGTAAGCTCATTTTATCAAGTTTGAAATTACCAAAACTTGGAGTGTGAATGATTTAACCCGACGTCATGTAATATACCTCCTTCATCATGCTTAAAATACATTTCATTAACCAGTATATTATTATCAGGTTGAATGAATGATTTAGAATTTCCGCAATGCAGTTATCAAAATGTTGTAATTCAATGGAAGTCGCCTCACAAGATACATTGCATTACAGGTATCTCGACAACATTCGCACCGATCCAACACTGAACATCAGTCGACTGTATGACCTGGGCTTGCTCATGTCTAACAACTGGACAGCAAAATCAAGTACGCTGACAGTACTTTCATTGATGAACAACCGCATTAGCAATATTGTCTATGACGCCAAGTCTATCGTTGATATGGCCACAGTTATTAGGTGAGCCTGCCCTTACGATTGATGGCAATCTCTCCTGATAAGGAAGGAAACGGTCACTAATAGATCAGCATGTCGATCAATGGTAGCTGGAATGCAACGATGAACCGTTTGCTTTGAGTAGCTGTGTACTTATCATGATAACAAGTCTGTGGAGGGAATTGTATGACTGGAATTCAATTCATAGGTAGCATTGGTTTCCATATCGTCACATTGGGTTGTGCAGACTACAAGGGAATCCCTTCAGCAAGTCTCCACATTCTGATGACGGAAGGAAAATGTTCTGTGCACAAACTTGCATCAACTCAGGTATTGGTCCTCTTCGTTGAGGTCGAATGAACATGTCAATCTCGTGTTTTTTATAATCAACCGTGCTTATGAGAGTTCGTCATCTTGTTGCAGTTCCAAAGCAAGAAAGCAACCTCAAGGTTACGATAATCGCTGTGGTGGTAAGTGTAACCTCATCACTGATCCTAATGATCAGTCTGGCTATTCTATTTCATAGGCACAAAAAGCTCAAGCAGTATCAGGTTCTGGTCCAACAAAGTAAGAACTTGATCTGCACTTCTAGGAGTACACAATATCAAATTTGGCATGATATTTGTAGCTCATGCCTGATTCATTCTCAAAATCAACTGCAGCTGTAACCGTTGTTTACAAAAGTACTGAGGTTTGTATTCGCTCCAGAGTTTGAAGAGTTTGAGGTGAAGCCAACTATATTCACCCACAGCCAGCTCCGAACTGCCACACGCGACTTCCATCCCGACTTGAAGTTGGGCGAGGGAGCCTTTGGGAGAGTGTACAAGGTAAAATGTGAACAACGTCGAAGAAATATTGCAGATCAAGACGTCTACTTTTCTGCCGAAAACCATGCAGATCTACTGTCTGTGTGCCACATGGATGGTAGTAAGCAGAAGATAGTGGGATTTGTTTCCAATTTATTACATCGGAGATTTCGACTAAATGACACCGTCTTTGTGACTTCTCGCAGGGAATTTTGCCGAATGGAAATGTCATGGCTGTGAAACTACTATTCCCCCAAAAGACTTCCAAGGGTTTAGACGAATTTCTGAATGAGGTAGTTTTGTTGACAGGAATGAAGCACAGGAACCTTGTGAATCTGAGAGGGTGTTGCATTCGTGAACAACAAAGATTGTTGGTGTACGAGTATGTTGACAACTATGACGTTGACCAGGTTCTTCTAGGTGAGATGAACCCTCAACGTGAGAACTCTAATCTTACACAGCGTCTGTGACAGTTTTGCAATTCTTCATTGAAAACACTCCAATCACTTATTCTTGATTCTTTTTGGATTACTCTCACACTTGCTCTTGTTTATGAACAACCTGAAACCAGTTGAAATTTGGTGGTATTTAAGCGATAATTAGCACCCTTTACACCTTGTGTTGCCACGATTTCGTTGGCGCAGGGGGTGCAAACAAGGCCGACTTGAGCTGGCCTGTGCGATGGAAGATCGTCTTGGGAGTGGCCCGCGGTCTACATTACCTCCATGCACTTGCACATCCGAGGATCATCCATCGAGACATCAAAGCCAGCAACATCTTACTAACCAAGAACTACGACACCAAGATAGCAGACTTCGGCTTGGCGGTACTTTTTCCTGATGAACAGAGTTGTATAGTGACCAAGCATGTTGCTGGTACCAAGTAAGCTCAGTAGTTAGTTCAAGTTGTGAAGTTCCGGCTCAGTAGTTACTGGAAGTTGTGGAGATCCATGTTTGTGCCCTACTTCTGAAGTAGAAGTGGGTTGAATGTGTCCACAGGGGATACTTGGCACCAGAATATGCGTCGTGTGGTCGGTTGAGTGACAAGGTGGACGTTTACAGCTTTGGAGTGCTGTGTTTAGAGATCGTGAGTGGAAGAAGAAACATTGATGATTCTTATCCTCCTGGCGAAATGTATCTGTCCAAATGGGTGAGGATTTCGCTCTTTTTTTCACATGTTTGGTATCACTACCTTCAATTGAGGGTGATCGCTTTGGTCCAAGATGGACTTTATTTTCGTAGGTGAAATGAATCCTAGTTATTCACATGATGTTTGAGCAGATTGGGCATGTAGGGATCAGAATATGGCTTATTGTCTCGGTGGGTTCGTAGGTATGGGATCTGCATCGGCAGGGTATGAGGCAGAGGTTGTGGCGCTGAAGCCAGGGAATGAGGAGAAACTCTTGGAGACCATGAGGTTGTTTGCCGGTCGCAGGAGTGATCTTGGGACTGTAAAGGAGGAAGGCGAGTCGTCTTTCATGGAATCGTCAAGTGGAGGTGGAAGTCGTTTTGAGAAAGAAAATTCCACTGATGCTGTGCTTGAGCTCAGTGAAATAAGAGTCAGATGATTTATTTTTTCTTCCAACCCTAGAAAAGTGGAATGCAGCTTGTTGACATCCTTGACAGACTTGGGTAGATTATAGATCAAGATAGTTCGTCAGTGAAGGGACAGATATAGTATTTGTAGAAAGTGAGCCAACGTAGAAGAGGTTTAACTTTAGATCTTGTTTTGTTCTCTTGTGAGGTTTTCTGTGCAATTTTCGATCTTGTTTACTGCTTAGCTTGGTCGTTTTCTCTGTGCAACTACGAGAAGGAGGTTTTCAATATATAATGATCACCTATTCCTTGTTGAAATAAAGAAGAGTCTATTTTTTTATACTAGCTGGAGGGGCATGTTGTAGTCCATATATTGTTTTTTTCAGTTGGCAAATCATATTTTCTTTGGGAGGAATTTCAACGCCTTGTGGTTGAGTAACATAAACTTCTTCTTTCAAATCTTCATGACTAAATGCAATTGTAATGTATTTATATGATATAGTTTCCAATTGTTTTGTGTTGCATTTGAAATCATGGCTCTAATGGTAGCCTATTTTACTACTGGTTTAAAATTTTATGCATTGTCAATGCCTTCCTTTTTTTGAAGGCCTTTTGTAACCAATGTAACTTTGTGTTTTTGAAGTGAGCCATTAGTATTCAATTTTGCCTTATATATTGATTAAGTTGAGATAGCAGATTTACTTGGAAGTAGATTTATAATAGTCTAAGTTTCATTTTTGTATATTGAGTTTATTTCTTCTATCATGGCTTATTTCTATCCTTGATGCAGAGCTACTTTATGATAAGTGGTTGGTTCTAGATTTGATATTGTCATCAATCCTGCAAAGTGGTCTTTCATCCATCATGGTACTCTAGTTTGTCTGCCTACTCTTATAATAGTTGAGAATGGCCAAATAGGATTGATTTCTTGATTTGGAGAGTGTACTTGTTTAATTGAAGATATATCAGTGTGAGTTTTCCTAATACATAGCTAAAAATAGATATATCAATTTTATTATTATTTTTGTGAAAGAGTGAGCAATTCACTATATGGATGACTATAAATTTCATCCTTGGTTGTTTCTTGATTGATATCCTATATGCACGTAAGATGAGCATCCAAATGTTTTCAAATGGCATAATTTTGGTTTACTCCCAAAAAAACATTTCTTCTCATGACATATTGAGATTGTTTCCTCTTATTGATAGCTTGTTTAATAGATATATTGTGGTTTTTGCTGCTTTTGGCTATAGATAAATAGATAGTCTTCATGATAATAATATGTATCTTGTTTTGTCTAATATTGATCTATTTCTTCTTTTCACTACTTCATTTTGTTGGGATATACAAGGCAATATGAATTGTCAAATGATCCTATTTCTAGTACAATAATTTGAGAAGCCTTGTGATATAAATTCTCCTCTATTGTTGGTTTTCAAACCTTTGATAAGTTTTCCATTATTGCTTACAATTCTATGAATTTTTTAAAGGTTTGTTTCTTCTCTTTGAAAAAATAAATTCAAGTTTTTCCAAGAATAGTCATTAATGAAGAAAAGAAAGTATGTTGTTAATAATAAGGATGCAATTGGTAGAGGACCACATAAGTGGGCATGTACTAACTCAAGTATTTCCTTGATTTTGTAGCTCCATCTTTGGATATTGCATTTCTTGTTTGTTTTCCTGCCAAACAGTGTTAACAATGTAATTTCTTGGTTGTAAAGGCTGGTATATTTTCTGTATTCAATATCATCATCATAGGTATACCTACATGTCCTAGTCAGCAATGCCATTGGTAATCATTTTCTTCTTTCATCTTATCAGGCATCTTTAATTGTAGTTTAGATTCTGGCTAGATTTTACCTGCTGAGTTCACTGGTATATCTCCCAAATTCTCTGGCATTTGCTCTTTATCATTTCTAAATAACTGGTCATATTCTGAATATGGATTTGTCATGTGAGCAGTGTTTTGATGAATCGAAAGAATACTGTCTAGCTTAGTTTCCAATAAACCCGAGGAAGGCGGCGATTTTAGTGTTCCAGTATTATGAGATCCAAAAATTGATGCGATCGAGGGAATGAATAAGGGCTTTGGTTTTACAATTGCAGTGTCGGTGTTGTTTTCAGAACACCTAATAGTAGTTCTTTACTTTTGATGAGATTGGCCGTGAATGCTGTTGTTACCTCTTTATGTCCGATGGCCCTTCTATTAGTGTTTAGTTTATATAATCGCAAATCTTTGTCCCAATGATCCAACTTGATAACTTTTCAAGGATCCGAATTAGTAATGGCGTCACAACTTTTTCTTCCAAGAATTAGGATTTGATCATTGCTCCTCACATACTATCCAACTCAAATCAGATTTTGCTGTAGCCTGGGCACTTAAAGCACATTTTTTAAGTTTAATTCGTTGTTGAAATCCAGAAAATGTATATTGCCTCGTCCCTTTCACAGTGTGAATTTTGCCATCAGCAGTAACTACCTACTATTGCTGCGATGCTTTATTAAGATCTGAAAATAAATTCTGGTTGCCCAAGAAATGCCGCGATGCTCTACTATCAATAATCCACTCCCTCTCTTGCAATGATACAGCAGACAAGTCTTTCAGGGCGTTCTAAATCTCATCTCGGGTAGGATAAGTCTCGCTTAATTTTTCTTGCACATGATTCATCCTTTGCCGATATCGGTTTGCAGACTAGGGCTTGGCAGCTCGACAATGTCTGGCGATGTGTCCCGACTTGTCACACCAGAGATACACCACACCCCCGTGTCTCTCACTTGAATCTATGGACCGTTGTTGAGATACATTTCCCCGCTGATTGATGTTACTCATTGAGCTCAAGGCTCTATGGTCGTTAAAGGCCTCTGTTATTCTCACATCATGTTCTTGATTTTAAAAAACAATGCTTCTTTCATCGACCCCGTCGACCTCTCTCAGATCGTTCAATAGGTCGTAAACATGTTGCATAAAAGTGGACACCAACATGTCCTTTGACATTTTAATGTTCTCCCACCTGTCTAAAACTTTTAACACATCCGCAATAGTTTTCGTGGAATATATTTTGGCAAGAACTTTTCAAGCTACTGTTGGATCTATAACATGCAAGATGTAAGGTTTTACCATGTCCATTACCAAGCGGCGGAGAAGCCCCATTGCTTCGCCTGCGGAGAAGCTCCTGCTGATGGTGTTAGCGATATTGTTTTTGAACTTGGGTTCCTAGCTCCAACGGTCGCTCCTTCGCCCGTTTTGACATCCGATTCTGTCGCTGTCGTCACTGCTGTTGTTTTGCTACTAGCCGATGATCCTTGGTGAGTTCCTTGTTGGTGTGATCACATCCCACAAGTCCTTTTATTTTAGCACGCTCTGCATCGTGCTCCTTCAAGCCTGGTAATTCTCCAATCTGGCTAACATTTTGGACTGTGTGATGATGCCGTCCATCGTGCCCATTAGCTTTGCTTCTTCGCAATCTGATCTCTATTGTTCACGCAGTACTCGCTCTAACACCATGTTGACTCCTTATCTTGCTTCTATAACTGAACAACAATCAGTAAGAATAATCCTACTAATTGACAGTAACACAGTAACTGTAATAGATTTAGGAGATCACCGAAGGAAAACCATTATATGTGTTTCTATTAGTAATTCAAGAATTAAGTACAAGAAAAAATACCCATGATCATCCGATCGGGAGTTATGTTGATGTCTAGGTTCTATAGTATCAACCGAGGGGTGTATCCAATAGATTTTATTATGCCAAGGTTGATGTTATCGCCTTCATCTCATTCTCTTACTGTATCAACAAGTCTTTGTGTATCCATCGGAAGCTCCAGGGTAGCGGCTGTGGATTGTACTCTGATGCTCACAAGTAATAATGGTGGCAACTTCATTGTATATTATTGATATTAGTGGTCTCCTTCAAATTGGATGGGCTTCCCAATCTCTCCCTTTTGTATGGTGGGACTTGACCTTTCCCTTAAGACCAATCTTTCTTTTCTATCCTCTCTCCTTCCAAGGCAAATTGATATACTGGTTGGTTTGATGTCTGGGTTTGGAATGCAAGTATGGATTTGGTCAATGTTTCATCAAACCACCCTATTATTATTGTGTCACTTCATTGTGTCACTTTGCCTATTTTAGTTGAGTATTATGATATTCTATTTTAATATTTGGCTTCAACATATATATAGAGAGAAAGAGAGAAAAAAAAAAAAAGAAAAAAAAAAAGAGAGAACAAAAGAAAGAGAGTTATTAAAGCCACAGCTTCCTTGTCATCGCATGATTGATTTTGTCTATCTCCATCTTATTTCTTATTCATAATTATATATCTCCATTTTCCTCCTTTATTTTCTATTTCTCAATCTCTATTTTCCTCTCTTGTTCTCCATCTTCCATTCCAAATTAAACTTTGTGGAAGTTGAATTCAAAGTAGAGCAAACATAGCAACTTATGAGAGCAATTTAGTTACTATGTTTGCTCATAAGTTATAGTTTACTAAAAATCTAGATTCTTTTATAGAAGAATTGAATTGAAAGATATAGTTGCAAAATATGAATAAAAAATAAGGAGGTAGTAAAAACTTTTAGTATTAATGTTGTATTTTTATAAAAAAAATGCTTCTACTTACTTTATATGGCCATAAATAAGTAAAAAAAAAGTAGATTAAAAAAACAAATAATATGGAAATCTTTAAGATAAAATTAAAAATACTTTTTTATAAAAATTACCTTAAGAAACCAAGGATTGATGCCTAGAGAGGATTGGTTGTGAATTAGGGTCAAAATCAGACCTCAAGACACAAAACCATGCTTTAAAAAAAAACTCTAAGGTTTTTAGATTAATAGAATAGCAAGATTTGAGAACAAAACTTAGAAGGGTTATTTTAGCAATAATTTTAAGTGATTTGGATGCATATTGAGTTTTGAGGGATTTTTAAAGTAAGAGATGTATTTGAAGAACTTATGAATATTATAGCAAATTTACAAGTGAAATTTTTTGAATTTATTATTGTACCTTTTTTAATTGTTTTTTACAAATTTAAATTTGATGAGTTTTATTTTTTTCAAACTTTTTATATTTATTGTTCACTTAAAGATTAAAACATAAAAAGAATTATATTAAAATCAATTATTCAATTATTTTTTTGCTATTAGAGTTTTAAAACAACTATTAAAATTTGATTAAGATTTATTTAAAAAAATTTTAGAATTTCTTTAGGATTTCATTAATATTTGTTTAGGATTTCATTTTAATTTATCAGGATTTAGTTAGGATTTCATTAGGATTTTTTGGAAGTTTTATTAGGATTTTTTAAAGCTATATTATGATTTAATTATGATTTATTTA